CACATTTTATCAAGGACAAGCTATAGTCTCATAGTGAATATAGCGTTGATCATATGATCACTTGGCTTGAGGGTATGAATGTCGTCGATCGAGGTAACGGTCGTGTTCAACGTTTTTCTCGCGAATAGAAGAATGACTTATTCTTTTTGTTGTGCCTTCTTCTCTCTCAAATAAATAAAATTGAATAAGAAAATGAGAAATCACTCAAGTGAAGCCGAGGTCAGCGTGAAGATCATGCAACTACGGGAGAAACTTCAATCATTCAAATTCTTGTGCTGGAAAGCTGTCAATAAGTGTGTTAGGAACATATTTTGTGTATCCAAGACACTAAGATAGTTCATGCTCAAACTTTTAGGATCTCGACAGAACATCAACAAGAAAACAGTGATCTAATAGAACGTAACGCACGGCGATTCTGTTACCCGTTATGCTGCGGGTGTTCGATTGGATTTGCGTGTGGGTATTTTTGAAGAGATAACTGACATTCACCATACCTTATCAACCGACATTCATACCCTCAAGCCAAGTGATCATATGATCAACGCTATATTCACTATGAGACTATAGCTTGTCCTTGATAAAATGTGTCAACATTTTAAGTAATAGAAATACAAATTTCACTCAATCATATTTCATGTTGCATATTTGTTTGTATTACTCTCGATATAAAGGCAGTCAATTGCCGGGGTGGCTGCGGATGTGGATGATCTGAAGCTGCAATTCCCATTCACACATCATCACCCACACACCCAGTAAGCAATTTTTGTCATACTTCTTTCGTTTTAGATAATTCGAAACTTCATAGTGATCCTTGACTACTTGTAATGACATTCTCATCAATAAATTATCAGCAAAAATAAAAATATGCAAATTTAAGTTAATTATTGTATCTATTTTTGCAATTGAAATGTTTTATTATGAGTTACATTTCTATATAGATATAATACTATGATAATACATGATGAAGTCCCGACAGGACAAAAACAACTGTTTGTCGCGGAATGACTATATCTACTCATATCGACACACTCAAATTGTTCAGTTTAAATAGACGAGTTAATTTTGTTTGTCATGAGTTTTGGTAACAGTTAATGCTGCTGTTGGACGAGAGGTGTTGATGAAAGTAACTTGATTATTTTCCAATTTGAAAAATCTTTTTAAAGATGTTTTGATTGTTTGTCGAAAACGTGATGAGGAAAGACAAAATATATAAAATGACGAAGCAAAATCGAGGCCCATTATACATTCCGTCAATTGATCAAGCAGAATTTCAATGTAAATTCGATCTAAACTTTTCATTGTACTTTGATTAAATGTTGCTATTGTATAAATCATCAAAATACATCGAGGCATTGTACATGATATAATTAGCACTGTTTGAATAATCATCATTCTTGTTATTTGTTGTTCCCATATTGATAAACGTGTTCGAACAGATTGTTGTTGAGCATTAGCAATTGTCATAAGATGAAGATTTCGATATGTAAGAATACTAAATATGATTAAAATGATAAGAGGAAAAATAACAGAAAATATAGGAGCCAGAAAAGAAATGGCAATTTGTGCAAAAAGAATATTTGTAAATCCACAAGTAAAAAAAGGTGGAATGAAATCACAATAAATAAGATAAGGTATGCTGACCAATGACCAAAATATAAAAGGAATTGGAAATATACGACGAGCTATATTGATTGAGCTTAATTGACGTATTTTAACCGATCTTGATGTACATGCCCAACGATCAAATGTTGCCAAAAAAAGAAAAGTCATAGCACATGGTCCGATTATTTGACTAAAGTAAATCATCAACTTGCATGCTATTGCAGATGCATTCATTGATGTTGATGGAATACTTTCAAGAAGAACAATTAGTAAGTTACCAAAATCGAATATTGATTGACCAACAAATAATAAGAACTTGGAGATTGACGAAATGTTTTCACTCCAAGAAAAATTATCGCATTCCCAATAGCTGCTGGAACTCCAATGATGAAGAGCACAATTGGTCCCCAAACAGATGTTTTAATAATTGCTTCGACAATAGACATTTTTCACTTACAGTATCTTTTCTCAATTGAATTAAATACTAAGCCGCTTTTTTCGCTTTTTCCTCTTATAGTTAAGTTATCCATGCACTCTCGCGCCTACTCATTTTCTCTGTCTTTTTCATAATAATCTGCAATAGAATATAATCTATTTTGATGTCTGGTAAGATTGTGTAAAAATATCGAACACAGATAAGTAGAGAAAGACAATAAATAAATCAGAAACAGTATTAATTATCAAAAACATTCTCTGTCATGCTGTGAAAAAAATAATCTAATTTTCATTTGAACAAACCTACATCAAAATCTCCCGCGTCTAAATGCGTTTATATTTCTTTTTTTGGAAAAAAAGTCATATTGTTCTCGCAGATTCTTACTGCATCACCATCAAGTTTACATGATGGTCAGTTCTTCCTAGAGAACAGAACAAGTGTTTTAATAATTTTAAACAAATCTTTAAACTGCGCATTAGCTGAGGTAAGAACAGAAGATATTTGATTACAAGTCAACATACTCAAAGCAATAAATTACATTGGCTTATGCATGTATCAAATACATCTCTGTTTTGATAAAGCAAATTGTAAGATCAATTACATTATATGCAAGAAGATTTATAAAACACAAGGATATATGTAACCATCATTTGTTAATTCGTCTTTATATTACTTTAGAAGAGATAAATATGAAGAGATTTGAAGTTATAAAAAATTCAAATGCACACAAGTTCAATTCTTATAACATGAGAAAACAGTTGTTTACATTTTGTACAAGATTTTTAAGACATTCTTAGACAATGTAATCATGTTGCACGTGAATGACATAGTAAGGTTATCATTCATGTAAGCATAAATACCCTTGAAGAAAAACAAAATAGCTAATTGGAAAAAATATAGGTTTCTGTAGCTATTATTGAGATCTTTATTATATTGATATTACCAAAAATATATATCATTTTGCACGAAAAGACGAATTATGATGTTAGAAAAAACCCTAGTAAATAGATAATGAAGTTGCCCCCAATTAGCCTTATATAGCTAGACGTCATGACGAATAGATCTATTCACAGATTAATGCTTGGAATATCATACAAAAAAATCAGAAGTATTAAAACAGTTGCAAAAATGTTGTTACTCATTCAAAAACAGAACCAGTTTGTGCTTGATATTGAAACGCGTAGAGACGCACTTTAAACATATGGACGCACTGGAATGTGTCTAGACGCGTTTCTCTACTAGCTTTTTCGGCGAGAGCATGTTTAAACACATCCAAAACGTATTTAAACGAGTTTTCACTGTGATGGAAAGTTACACCGGAAGTGCTTGAACTTTACTTGCACTTAGTTCAAATTTAAGAAACATATGATGTTATATTGACAAAAATCTAACTATTATTTGCATTATTGAAATAATTACAAAAATGTTCCATTTTTCAAGCTTCAATTCAGATAAACCAAATACGACGTTTTGCGAATAAAATTTTTCTTTTGCACATTTTATATAAAATGACACTGACATATTTTATGACCAATACATAGATTAGATTCAATATAAAAATCATTCTTTTTATTTACTTGTTTGCATTGTAAATAGTTCTTTTCTACGATGTCAACGCCTAATATTCTGAATTATTGAAATGGCAATATAATCAGTGTTAATTAGCAATATTCTTTTTTTGACATAGAAATGATGACCTTGTGAGTAGTAGATCAAATCAATGTTTTATAATTAAAAATAGAAATGCCATAAACAAAACATCAATAGCAAAATAAGTTTCTAAATTAAAACTCACACACGTATACACAGTGACGCTCAAAATTGATCGTACGTCGATGTACGATCAATTTTGAGCGTCACTACCTGTGAAACAATGTGTCATGTTGTGCGATGCATTATTTTTCTTTCCGAACTCTATGCATTTATAATTTTCTCGCCCTTCGTATTTGCTCTAGCAACAAAAAATATAAATTGCCATATAGTGTTAAATAAGATAAAATATTTTCTTTTCATATTTTATTTCATATTTTGTGAACTATAGCATGTAAATCTTCGAAGCATAGTGTCACAAAAATTATTAATTCAAACAGATCGGATCATCATTACCATTTGCAGTACGAGTGAAAAAAAATTCTTCTTTAGTGAATGAATATGATTTATGATATCGTAATAAGGAAGATTCTTCTGAATTGTCGTAAATTCCATTTCCGAATATCGACAATGAAATTGTCGAAGATAGTTTCTATAAAAACAGAAAAAGAATTGCAGCTTGATAATTATTTCATCGATCTTGATAAATGGATTAAAATCCATAAACAAGATTCATCGATACAAAGAACAATCA